GTTCGGGTAGACGTATTCAGTAGATGTAAGTATGTATCATGATCCATTCTTAAAAAAAATTGCCAGTCTTTTGGAAACATCTTTAATTCCGACAACAAATTGACATGAGAATGAACTATTCTTTTCATTAGCCATTCTTTGCACCAGATGCTACGATTTTTTTGATTCACTTTATTTTCTTACAGGGCGAATATTAATCCAACAACTGCTAAAACGTCGTCCGTCGAAGCCATCGCTGACACGTGTGCGTCGGCGCCGTTTATTGTATCGTCTGATCGTAACGATTTCTCGTAGTGTTTTTTTTTATGTTAAAGGGGGCATATGAGCAGACGGCTCACCTGATGGTAAGTGATCACCGTCGCCCATGGACACTTGCAACACCAGGAGTATCACAAATGCGATGCCGGCCTTTAAGGAAGGAGTACGCTCTTTTTTTGAAGGTTCTTGGGTCGTATTGGTCCGGAAACACTGCTGGCGACAACATATTCCACAGTTTTGTCGTACGTGGTAAAAAATTTCGACAAAAACGCACGGTTGTGGATAGCCACGCATCAAGATGATGGGGATGAAATTATATGCCATTTACGATAAACTGTTCCGTTCGAACTGGACAGTCTGATCGTAACGATTTCTCGTAGTGTGTATGGCTACCATTAGTTGATACAACCTACACCAAACAACAACATTGAACAATATATGTCACTGTATCGTACGTGAGTCCCACGTGACGGTCAAAGGGGGAAATGGGTAGTTCCTCCGATTAAGATGTTTGTGCTTTAACAACTATATCCTTGGAGTTTGTGCATCAGGATGACGGTCAGTCGTATTAGTACTAAAAATTATGGCCAAAATTGCTTTCCGTTTGCTTCTGATCATGAGGCATTTGATTCCTCATTAGAAAAATAATCAAAATAATTTTATCTCAGAGGCTTTAATCATTTTGTGAGTGTGATTGAGGACTTACAGAATCGATCATACACATCGTCATGTCTTATTTCAATGTATTTGTACTTTTCACTACCATTTTGTAGAATTTTTTTTTTATAACCAAGTTCTTCCGTATGTCTTGATCTGTATCTGAAGAATAAGTCTGCCTACGCGATTGGATATACATATTTAAGATTACCGTAGTTAGGTATCCAAGATATTTATGTTTAGATTTCAAATATGTTTACTCCGAATACAGCTGAAAATTGTTGTTACTGTATGTATTTGAAGTCGGTACTCCAAATATGAGAGATGTTACCTAAAGATAATTAGGTTTACTAGACAAACTTTATAGCTAATAGTTTGGTAAGTATATATCATATATCGATGCAGGTATTAATATATAGATCCATTTATATTGAAGGTTTTGAACTTATGCGCCACAACAGACATGTACTTAGTAAATATTTGCACAGAGTGTATTACAGTGCCGCTATAACAACAAATTATTAAATTCAAATAATTGTAAGTATTGTAGGATCCGCAATACTAATTATTATACTTACGTCAATGCCAAAACTAAATATTTTCGTCGTTTTGTTCGTTCAAATGTTAAATCTTGTAGAATAATTATTATAACCCTTCGCGTGGGGTTATCGCGCACTTGGGCTCTTTTATTTTTTGCTGTACGAATAACATAAACCTAAAATCTATCTAACATAGGAACGGTGAGACTTACACCCAGTGAGGTGTAGGAAAAATACAGATAAAATCTGGTTTTATTACCGACTAGTGGCCCGCCCTCGCTTCGCTTCGGTGTAGAGCTGTAGTGTAAACTATAGTTTTTGTTCTCAGGCTTGTGCAAGAAACAATGACTTTATTTATATAATTACACGTGTTATTGTGAGTCAACCATAAAAGATAAACATATGCTGTTGCGGGATAGTTTTTAGACAATTTTATGTAGAATATTTCCGTCATACATGATTTCTATGTAACTTTAACCATTAAGGCTGCACACGCGACGGAAGCCTAAAAAATGAAGTAACTTCTCCCGTTTTCCCAACATTTCCCTTCACTACTCTGCTCCTATTGATTGTAGCGTGATGAAAAGTATACTATAACCTGCCCAGGAGTATGAAGAATAATTGTACCAAGTTTCGTTAAAATCCGTCGAGTAGTTTTTGTTTCTATAAGGAACATACACACAGACAGACAGACAAAAAATTTACTGATTGCATTTTTGGCATCAGTATCGATCACTAATCACTCCCTGATAGTTATTTTAAAAATATATTTCATGTACAGAATTGACATCTCTACAGATTTATTATAAGTATAGATTGAAAATATAACTGGTGTAGTCCAAACAGAAAAACAATTATTTTTATTTGTTACAACTATTTTCAGTACAATAACGCGTTCAGAGTGCTGATGGGGCTGCCGCGTTACTGCAGCGCATCAGGGATGTTTGCTGATGCACAGGTGGACTGTTTCTTCACCATCATACGGAAACGATGTGCATCACTGGTACGTAGGGCTCGGGCCAGCTCCAACGGCATTCTGAGTAGAGATGGGCGTTTTTAGATAATTTTGAAATCGATGCGCATCGGTATCAGATAATTGGCATCGGATGCCCGCATCGATGCCGGCATCGCATCGATGTCAACTGAATGTCGATATCTTGTATCACAGGTTACGATGCAATATGAATTTTTACAAATGCGTGTTTTGTGTGGGTCTGTCTCTTCGATTCCTTGAATCAGGACTTGAAAATGTAATCGAAAACCATTTATTTACTTTTCGGTATCCTATCTGAAAAGATTGAATGCTGGCAAAATTATTACATAAAAAATTTCACTCGCCGCGTAGGTTTTGAACGCAGGCAGGATGCCAGGTTTGGATGCGCGCATCCGATACGACTGGATGCCGTTAATGGATGCCGATGCCATCTAGTTTTTGTCATCGTTACTATAGCAACAGTGCCACAAACTTTTCTGTGCCGGTGGCAAAAATTTGAACTACAATTTATCCATAGCATTTTGACATTTTTATGACATATTTGTTCACCGCTAGCGACATCTCCTCCGGCACAGATAAGTTTGTGGCACTGTTGCTATGGTAACGTTGACAAAAACTAGATGGCATCGGCATCCAATATCGGCATCCAGTCGCATCGGATGCGCGCATCCGAACCTGGCATCGTTATTGCGCATCGTTATTCTAAAAACGCCCATCCCTAATTCTGAGCTTGTTTGCGAACAGAATCGAGTGTCAGTACATGCGTCATTGTTGCATGGTTCATGTACTGACTAACAGTAAATATTGACATGTTTTATTTGTTTTATTTATTTAAATATTATTAATGTGAAAATATTGACTTGTTATATTTATTTATTTATTTATTATTGATGATGTCTTTTTATTGTAAATTAATTTAATGTTAATTTATTGTTTGGTTTTGTATGGTTGATATGAGCTGCTGTTGTCCGAAATAAATATTTTTTATTTATTAATTGTAGTTAATATTTACGAGTATTAAAAGAAATCACGTGGAGAAGAGAATTATTGGTCGGTACAGTGAGCGAGCGTCAGTGAGGCAAACAACAGTGTCGCCTCTACATAAACTCTTATGTAATTAAGTACTACATAGCAGTAGACAATAAAACAGAATAAATATATAATTATGAAGAACAAGTTGGTTTCTTATTTACCAAACACCCGCCCCATTGAAATTACCAAATCATTTCAATTTTCAACCAAAAGAATTAACCAGAATAAAGGAAAACTTGAAGTTCACACTTTACAACAGAAAATAAACTTATACAGTATATACGTCTATAATTATATAATCCTTAAGATTAAACAATGGTTCTTAAGCCTAAGTGCTCTTGACGCGATACATAATTTACACAACCATATGAGTGTCCTACGAGAGAGAGAGAGAGAGAGAACCATTTATTGACCAATAAAACACAAACATATAAATATAAACTGCTAAAATATATAAAAAAGTAAGCATTACACATATTTATAAACCTAACAGCCATCATATTGGTCAATCAGGACCCTGCCTCAGCATAATGCTGCCGTGACATGTAACTAAACGTGTCACCACAACGCTGGTATTCTGGCAGGGCCTGTATGGTGCACGGTGTTTCGGTATACAAATAACAATATAATAAATTTAATAAAGAATACGAATAGATTTATAATTAGATAACTAGTGCTAAGTGCAAAAATGAACAGAATCTTAAAAATAAATAAATATGTATTTAAGCCAGTATCATTAGCTGTGTCATGTTATTCTGTGGTTAATCTGTGACTTGGCTTGTCACTTTTTGCGATATAAATATTTAGGTAGGTAATCAAAATGAGGTTTCTCTATTGAGTGAGATTGTCCGCCCATGGTTTAATGTCTCTGTGTGTTCCCTTTTAATGATTTTGTAATAGATGTAATGATTTTACAGTAGATGGAAAGGTTGGGGTATGTATTTCAGAATTATTATTGCATGCATTGTAATTTCAGTAGGTGTTGCTTCAATTTAATCTTCAACGTATGTTTTGATACGAGCCTTTTAACTTAAAATTACAGCATAACCTTGCATAAACAAGCATTGGAATATAAAACACAGAAAACTGTTACAACTAACATTTAGTAAACAATAGAAAAAAACCTAGAGACAAATATCTTTACCATTGTATTTATAGAGAAACTAGCTGTGCCCCGCGGTGTAACCCGCGGTTTATTAGGGATATTTTCCCGCAGTAAAACGTAGCCTATGTGTTAATCCAGGGTGTCAGCTAACTCCATACCAAATTTTATTAAAATCGCTCCAGCCGTTAAGACGTGAAGAAGTAACAAACATACACACTCACACACTGACAAACTTTCGCCTTTATAATATTAGTGTGATGAAAATTGTAAAAACTCTATTGACGTTTCAAACAAATCCAAATAAAATTGTTGAATAGAAAATACATTTTCTCTGCTTCTGTGTGCTGGTGCTGGTGGCACAAAGGAGTGAATTTTCCAAACATTTGATTTCAATGTATGAGGTGATGTCGTAGCGTCAGGTGCGGCCCGATATTGCCAGCAGGGAGGCTGTGGCCACGACGTTTTCGTCACATTTCTCGCGAGATTCCCATTTCGAACATATAATACGTACCTACGTTGTTCACACACAAGATTACATCTGTAATATCTGACATCGGCGGCAACCGATGTAAGTGTTTTATTTTGCGGCAGTTTTGGATCTTTTCGCCCGGATAGCATGGGGCGCTGTTGGGTCATAGCCTGAGTTGAAAATGTATCCATCATTATTTATTTGATTGGTGCATTTATTATTATGACCGCAAAAGGAAAAATAACAACCTACAAAAAATTATTCAGGAGTTATTATAAACTAGTAGGTGCCTGCGCCTTCGTGTACATGGAAAATATCCCATGCAAACGGGGGGTCCGTTTCACCCCTTCAATTCAATTTATTTAGTGTACAAAGAGTGATTTCTAAAATAAAACTGTTCTATGTCCTTTCCTGGGACCTAAACAAACTCCGTACCTTTCATTTATTTAAATGGATGGATGGATGCAGTGGTTTAAGCACGAAGAGACAATAAACAGACAGACAGACACACTTCCGCATTTATAATATGAGGAGCTGGCGAACAAAACGGTATAATTACGCATCTGGTCAAACTACTTTTTTTACAGTCCGGAGGTTTAAGGCTCGTAGAATTTGAATCTCAAATAATTTTCAATCAAAACCGCCTAAAACAGTGTTAAATTTACTAAATTTATAAATTAAAACCATGCCAAAAGCTCATTTTAGGTATGTCATTCAGTTTTTTACAGCTCTTGTAAATTTTAATTTTATGTAATTATGCGGTTTTGTTCGCCAGCTCCTCATATTGTACCTACGTAATTTACATGTGTGTAGTCAAGTTATTATATTTTACTAGTGGCCCGCCCTCGCTTCGCTTCGGTGTGGAGCTGAAGTGTAGACTACAGTTTTTGTTCTCAGGCTTGTATTATACACAATGACATTCATTTATGATTCTTCTTATACCTGCACGCAAAGTCTAAGCCCGATCGGTTTAAAATTGACAAAGTTTCATACAAATTTTCATTCCCTAATTTATCCCCTTGGGGGTAGAATTGATCAAAATCCTTTCTTAGCGGATGCCTACGTCATAACATCTACCTGCATGCCAAATTTCAACCCGATCCGTCCAGTGGTTTGGGCTGGGCGTTGATAGATCACTATGACAGTCCTGAGTCCAAAGTGACCTTTGAGTTTTATATATTTATAAGGTATCACACTAAGTATTATTGCACCTCACAAGTTCTAATTAAAGTCACGTGACAATACTTATTGTAAGTCAAGTAAAATTAATACCTAGTGTATACTGTTTAATTATATGTGGAGCGAGCTTGGGTTCCCGGTATAGGTCGACCGCTCACACCGTGCGTGCTCACATGTTTAAAATGCGATTCAAATAAAAATAGGAAAGCCAATGACCTCCATCTGTCAAAAGTCGCTTGAAAAGTACAGTTTGCAAAAAAATCTCGGAACACCTTTTTAGCACTCAGCTAATTCTAGAATAAAAATCAAACATTTTTAAACAAAACATAACAAATATTGATAATTAATATTGTTTGTTATTTTTTTTCATTTCTTGAGCTTTGGCTATGTATGGTTTATAACCTGAATCGTCAACCAAATGTCACTTTATGTAGCGATCAGAAACTCGATTTAAAACTTTCGTTTATATATAGGATGCATGTTCGTATGTGACCTGCATGATTACTCATAACTGCTCCGGCGGTAATGCAGAGATGAGCCGAATTGAAGAGCTGGATTCTGATTAATGTTTTTTCTCACACAGTCTTAATAAAGAAATATTATTAAAAATCGGTTGTTATTTCTCTCAATTTTAGTAAATTAATTTTATTAATAAATCTGATGTTTTTTCTCACTTAATGTAAGCAAATAAGTTTTATTAAATAGAAACTTTTTTTTGCTCACTCTACCTATTTGGTTTGAATTGACAGCTATGACGTCAAAATATGGCGCCCAGTCGGTCCTATTCTTAGTTGAATCGCATTATACTCTGCTCATACACGAGCGGGTTCTGGGAAGCGGCGCGACTGATTGTATAATTATTATCGTGGCAGCGATTAACGAAAATTAACTCCGACCACGAACTATACGATAACTCAAAGTACAATTAAATATTATTGATGTATTTAAACTGGGTCGATGAGTGAGTTTTGAACGCTTTATTATAAAGCTGTAAGAGCTTTGGAGTAAAGGAATAATTTATTGATCTCAATTATCAAACCGTTTTCATAGATGTCGTGAAAATACCCCATGAATCTGATATATACTTTTATTTTAAATAGCACTTGTAACACTAGGATTGCGCAAAGGGTATACTCGTTGCCTCCAGATCCAAGGTACTCCTGTGATTTTATTATAGAAAATGCTATTAATAAATATAGCGCAGCGGGTAATTAGGTTAGTTTTTATAATTGCTTTTGTGGTTTTATTAACGCGGTTTGGAAAATAATTGGTTAAGTTAAGATGGAGGACCTTATTTTTTTACTGAGAAATTACGACACAAGTTGGTGTATCGAAATCAAGCCTAAAAAATTGGTGTGACAGTCAGCTTTCTGCTACACCACCTGTGTTGCCTGTCGGACGCCAACGCCATTAAACCGTAGCCTCAGACTCAGGCGAGTCGGAGCACAGGCCTAAGCACCAAATTCGACAGCTCCGTAACATCGTCAAATTTTGAATGAAAGGACCCAATCTGTTCTTACGTTCGGTAGCTGAAGGGGTGCCGTGAGGAACTCGATGCCGCAAGTGGTTAGCGCGTTCGGCTGCGAGCATTGCACTTAAGCAACTTTCGCAGTGGTCGGTCATTGGATGGGTGACCAAAAATTACTATCTCGAGCTCCTCCGTGCTTCGGAAGGCACGTTAAGCCGTTGGTCCCGGCTGCATCTGCAGTCGTTAGCACCCACCAATCCGCACTGGGCCCGCGTGGTGGGTCATGGCCCAATCTCCCTATTCCATCCATAGGGAAGGCCTGTGCCCCAGCATTGGGGACATTAATAGGCTGATGATGAAGGGTGCCCTAAGCGGCACCATTAAAGATGTTGTAATTTCTAGTTTCTGCCTGAGATACCACAGTTTTAGCTGCTATAGAAATTTTGGCGATCCAATACGATCACGGAGCTGTCAAATTTCGTAGCCTCGGGCCTCGCGCTCATTCCTCAGGTAATTCACTACGGCATCTTCATTAAGGAGTATTTCGGCAATTGACGTGAGGGTCCAGGAAGCGCCTGAGGTCATCCTCGTCGTAGAGCCTGGGCTGGCGCGCGTTGTATTGGAGCGCCTCGCACAGGCGGCACAGGCGGCCGCGCGCGCCCTCCCACGCGTCCTCGACCGATACTACGAAGTGACGCCGCCACGCGTGGAACCTGCGCAACGGTAACGCGCTGTGTGGTTACATTTCGAGATAACCAAAAATAGGTACACAAGCCCCTTAGATTAAAACAAAAAGGGAAGGGGCATTCGCGGCTCAAAAGTGATCCGCTTAAATTGTGGTCCACGACCATAATTCGTTTTAGTCACAATTTGATATTCAAATACGGTGCATGTACACTCAATATAAAAATATTGCGTATATTCTGTGTTATGAAGATTTAACAATGCCTTCGATGCTTTTATAAAGAACACAAATAGTTCAAAATAAAACGCCCCGGCAACACTTTTCATTCGTAAAACTGTGAAAACATTTTTTTCTCAAAAATCACGGTTTGTCGTGAATATATTTACGTAATCGCCATTTTGTAAGCAAGAAAAGGACAACAATACGCTGCGTTGAAGCGTAAAGTTCTGTCTCGCTCGCTCGATTGATGTTTATATACAGACGTGTGCGTGGCGAGAATTGATTATGCAGTTGAGTCGGATCATATTTTATTTGATGCTAGTATGAGCGTACCGTATCCACCCTTTATGTTTTAATCTAAGACAAGCCCGAAAGCTTCTTTGGTATCTGTGCTGATTGTCATGTTTTTGTGTATTTATTCTCCAGCGCATGTAGTAGAAACTGTAGCATCTCTGGGGAAACTGGAAACTACGCTTCTTCCAAAGAAATCTACAAAACCTTTGTGGTTACCGCTGAAGTTGAACTTACAGTACAGGGCCCCTGTTATACCTATATAGAGACAAATTTAAAAACTCGAGACTATCACAGTTTTCGTCGTTGAATTCTTTTCCACATACTGGAGGTACATTAGATAGATAGATAGATAAATTCTTTATTGAACACACACAAAAGAATACAAAAAAAGTAAACAATAACATAATGTGGGCAAAGGTGGCCTCATCGCTTTAAGTAATCTTTTCATGACAACCTTTGCGGTAAAGGATAACTAAACGAAGAGGAAGTTGTAGTATGCCAGCAAGATAAAACAAAGAAATATACATAATATTTTCTTGAACATATAAAGATTATAAATAAATAAATAACATATACCAACACAAATATATACACATACATATTTTGCATTATTATATATTTATAGATACAGCAGACTGGGATCTAAGTAGGAGAAATTCATGAAGAATATTTTAAAAAATGTCAATTGACTTAGCGTGACGAATCTCAGGCGGTAGCTTGTTCCAAAGTTGTGCAGCTTTAATCGTAAAGGAGTCCATATAATACTCAGAGCGGGTGAGAGGTATCTCTAACAAATTATCGTATTTTGAGCGCAAAACGCGATTGTGGTCCACACCAAGAAGTTGAAAACGTTCCTTGAGGTAAGTGGGAGTGCGAGGGTCATACAACACCTTACAAAGTAGTAAGAGAAGATGCTCTTCACGACGCAACCTAATGGGAAGCCACTTGAGCTTTTTCCTAAACTCAGAACCATGATCGAACTTGCGCAGGCCATAGATAAATCGAATGCAAAGATTTTGAAGTCTTTGAAGCTTATCAAGTAGTTTTTCATTCAGTTCTACGTTACAAACGTCTGCATTGTCCAGACTTGGCATTAAAACAGATTGCGCAAGCTCAATCTTGGTCCACGCAGGAAGCAAGTTTTTCCATCGGCGCAACGAGCCCGCAGCAGCGAATATCTTCCTACTGACCTCAGAAACATGAGGTGACCATGCATGGGTGGAGTCAAAGAAAACTCCAAGATTTTTGACAACATTGCTGTAGGTCAGTGGAATACAGCTGAGATAAAGCGGAGGCAGATGTGAAGGATTCAGCTTAGCAGTCTGTTTTGACACACCAATGATGATGGCCTGCATCTTACAAGGATTAATTGAATGGCCGTGGGCATAACTCCAGAGAGGATGCGCGGAGAGCGAAATCTCATCGGGGGGAGAGCACCCAAGTCCGGGAGGGATGAGGGGGATCCTCGTACGGTGTCCCCACATGATCCGCGAGGAAGTTGGCGGAGAAAGGAAGGCTCAAGGTGGGCTGGAGCTCAGCGAGGGTGACGGTCCTCAGCCGGCTCGTGCACTGTTTCCGGTGCATGGGCAAAGGGCACGCGGCTGCGCGATGCTCGGCGCAGGAGGACCGGAGCACAGGGCGGCGGTGTGCGCTGCCCCGCCCCGGTGCGCAATCTGCGCCGAAAGTGGCAGGCCATCTGGCCACATAATGGGGAGTAGGAGGTGCGACCTTCCGGTTACCAGGGGCAAAGCCCCAGGCAAAGTTGTCGCTGAGTCGTCGGCGCCGGGACAGGCACCCTCAGAGGACGGGACTAGGCTACTCGGACTCCCTGCCGACTGCCATCTCTTCTCCTAGGAGAAGAGTCAGGGAGACGCGGGCGGCCGGAAGAGGGTATGTTTGCCCCCGCATCGACGGCGAGTGGAGAGGGACGGAGAGAACTACGCTCCTCTTCCCGCTCCTCCGGGAACCAGTGGCCAGGCGTGGGGGGCGCCGGGTCACATTGCACGGTTCCTGAGACGTGTGGTGCCCCTGATACTCCAGGGAACCGCACGCCGGGGGGATCCGGAAACGGACAATCACTGGCGGGGCCGCGGTGCGTTGCGAATCCCGTGGCTACCAACCCGCACTCTCGGCACGCAATGGGGGGACTCCGATTCTTGGATTGCGTGTCGGGTGACCAGTGCTGGAGTATTGCCTGGTTTTTAGTGGCCATGCTTAGGGCGTAGGTAGGGCCCTGCTCACTTCGGCGAGCCTCATGGTTCGCTGAAGTGGACGGGGAGGAGTCCCACATACCTTCTTCTCGCTCCCCCAGTGGTTGAAGGATGCGTAAAGCATTTTCCAGACACAAATAAAAATAAAATAAAGGTAAGGAGAAAAGTGACAAATTAAATGAATAGAGAAGAGAGGAGAGGGGAAAGGACTCCACCCTGAGGGACTCCAGCAACAACTTCACAGAAGTCAGATTGTCTGTCGTCGGTCGGCCAGCTAGATAACTTCGGAACCAGTCCACCACCACCTCCGAGATAAAGATCGACTTCAGCATAGCCAAGAAGATGTCATAATCAACGGAGATCTTGGTGAAGGCTGTGACCGTGCTATGCCCCGGGTTGAACCCGGACTGAAAGGGGCTAAGAATATTCTTGGAGTTGAGGAATACGCTTACCTGATGATGAACAAGACGTTCTAGTACTTTTGAAAGTAATGGGAGGATGAATATAGGTCTAAAATGACTAGATAAGGTAGTATTGGATATCTTAGGGATAGGAATTACGGCCGCTCGATGCCAGCAGCTCGGAAACGAGCCTGAACTGAGAGAGAAATTGAAGATGTGACAGAGTAGCAGAAGAAGAGTCGCAGAACCATTTAAAAGCATTTTTCGACTTACTCCGTCCGGCATTCGATGTAATAGCGGAAATACTCCTCTCAACTTCGCTTACGATCACAGATCTAAAAGAAAAGGCGGACTTAAGGGGATCAAAAGCAGCAAGTAAAGTTTGCAATGAAGATTGCTTGACATTGGAAGGAATAGAGGAAGGTGCTGCGAAGTATAGGTTTAAAGAATTAGGATTAGTTACTTTTACAAATAGTTCTGACCTTAACAAAAGCTCGTTACTCCTCGCAATCCTCTGCATATGTCGTGCGAGCTGCTTGTGCGTGGTATAGTCATCGACGTGCAGGTAGGAGCCGGGCGGCAGCAGCGCGGAGCACTCCTCGCGCGAGGCGCCCATCACCACCGGGATAGCGCCGCTCATCAGCGCGTGCCGGTACACCCGTTCAGTCAACAACTGATGGCATTCGGAGTTCTCGAAGGCCAAGTAGAATAGGTAGCGGTTTATCGACTTACACTCGCCAAATCTTGGACATCTGCAACACGAGAAAAGTGATTTAGTAAAGGGAAATTTCATTTCAATGTTCGCGACAAGATCATCATACGTGTAATAAATCACTTCTCTCGTGTAAAAGTTCAAATTTTAAGTTGTAAAGTACATTATAATTAAAATAAATATAGGGTTGTAAATACTATAGTTTGCGTGGAATCATAAAAATAATCACAGCTTCTTCCTGGTTAGCAACTACATGAATAATATAGTATATCACACTCGTTAGGAAGCCTCACTCCTGGCTAGGTCGGCGGTAGAAACAATTTCCATAGTAGTGCAGACGCATGTATCTCTGCAGCGCGTTCAGGGCGCGCATGCGGTCGCGCGCGCGGCAGTTGGAGAGCAGCGCCGCCGCCAGCACGTCGCGCCGCTTGCGCCGCCAGTGCGGCACCAGCGCGGGCAGGCTGACTGATGACGAGGTGACTGGTGGTGGTGCTACGAGCGCCAAGGTTCGCCCGTACGGGATCGGGACGTCAGCGTCGCTTCTGCAATATACGAATAAATGTTGAGCTAATTTATTGTATAATTATCTTGTTTCATCTTGCGGAATGCGAATGTGAATAAATGTTCTGCTCCCACATTAACCACCTCTTGGCACAAAAGTCAGAGTCGTAGCCTTTTATTGCATCTATGTAAATGTTGGACACTTTCATAACAGTTTCACTCGTGGTTCAAGTAAATGGATTAATGTGGATGGATTATTATATTGAGAATATTTTTTTTATGCAAAATAGGCAATGCGTTTGACCACAATCTCACCTGATGGAAAGCGATGATGAGGCCTAGGATGGTACACGCCTGCCTAGAAGATGCCTGTTCACTCTGGCCTTGAAGATGTCCAGATTATATTGGTCCGGGAAAACAGACCTCGGCAAGAAGTTCTATTCCCTAGCCGTTCGTATAATGAAGGCCGAAGCAAATCGCTTCGTGCGAATGGGAGGAACTTCGATTTTTTGATATTAAAAGTATTTCACAAAGAAGTGTAAAGAATCTTAACCTGTTCAATTGTGTTAACCGGACCTCCTCACTGACCTGTAAGTCATAGACCAGTTAAATAGACCGGCCAACCCGGCGATCATACTGGAGGGGATAGTGTGTAAAGGAGAGCCCGTGGCCGCGAACACCCAGCGCTGGCGCGGGTGTCGAGCTGCAGCGCGAGTGGGAGGAGTGTCCCCGCTGGCGTCCAGTACCACGAGCACGGCATCCGCGTCCGCCAGGCGCGACGCGTCTTGTGTGTACGCGCAGTCACTGACGCTGCACCCCTCGAGGACATGGTCACTGCTGCTACCAAACCGATAGATTACAATAGTGAGCTTTCCTACCATGTTTTTGGAGTTTACTCCTTAAGAATCGATTTGCATATATAAGGGGCCCGGTATGAGAAAAATGTGAGGAGTAAAATCTATCGATGAATGACATTAATGACCTCGTTACGTTTTTGTGCGCAACCTCTTCCGCGCACCTTTCACTTTTAGCCATGGCAACGGATAAAAAAATATTAAGTTGTCACAAATGTCAATAAAATAAATAAACTAAAAATATATAAAATCGGAGCAAAATTAATGAAAACCAATAAATAACAGAATATAGAGAAATGCCGGTAAGTGTCCAGCACTCTGGAATAGTGATTTTCAGTACAGATGGAACTATAATACATATTTACAAAATGATGACTAGTGTGTGATATTTTTGAAATTGTGTGTTTCCAGAAGTACATAATAAAATATATAATGAATATCGCTGATGTTAGATGATAAAATGTGTGACATGGAACCTATGATAGTCGAAACCATGGGACGATTCCTGAGGTATCTCTACTTGTAACCGACTTCTTCGGACTTGATTTTGTTTTGTGTCTGTTGGAGGTCACACATTTTTTATTTTTTTTTACTGTCTATGATTTCCCTTAAGGCTACAAAAAAACCACTTAGATTTAATCCCCTTATATGCGTTCCACAGGCAACCTCAAACTATAGACAGAATTCGTATCTCTTGCGTGCAGGTAATCGTTTTAATATTGTATCTGAGAAAACTGGCATTGATTTGTTTTACACTAGCGTTCCATCACTGAGGCGGGTATTGAGCAGTCCATTTTTCGACAAATAGGCAATTGTACAATGCTTTTTTTTTGTAATTGTTATGTTGAAAGTGTCCTTAATTATGGTGTAGTGTGTTTTTATTGGTGAATGCCTGTAATTGGCTTTCTGTTGTTATTTAAGTTTTTATTATTTTTCATCCCACCACCTCGGAAAGTGTAATTTTGCGCTTCGAAATCTGGCTGGAAAATTCTATTTTATTCGCTTGAGCGGCAAAGTAGATTTGAATTTAGAACATCACATATAATGAGTACTCAATATAATTGTAAATTCAAAACGTCATTAAACCTATTTAATGTAACCTCTATGGTGCCAAATTTATGATTAGAACTTTTTAAATTGTGAAAAAATTTAAATTTGGAACCTTCTTGGTTTCTTTGTTTTATTTGCGTGCTTCGCGCCATTCTAGTTTTTCACGTTTTATTGCTTAATATAATTAACATAACCTAAAAACTGTACAAAAAAATCAACTAAAATGAGTGACATTAGCGACGATGAAGTTTATCTAACGCCAACTGAGTTAACTGAAACAGTTAATAATGCGCAAATGAGCCTTCTCCCTCAGCAATCACGAGAGAAGTATTTGAAACAGTACGATATATTTAACATGTGGCGACTAGCTAAAGGACCAAAAACTTTCTCCGAAAACGTTTTGCTGGCATATTTTATAGAATTATCTGAGACCAAGAAAGCAAGCACGCTATGGAGTACGTATTCAATGCTAAAATTAACAATTAAGATGAAGAAAGACGTTCATATCGACACCTATCATAAATTAGTGGCATTTTTAAAAAGAGCCTCATCTGGTTATAAACCAAAAAAATCGAAGGTTTTCACAGCATCTGAAATTGCAAAGTTTATTAATGAAGCACCTGATTCCGTATATTTAGCGGCAAAAGTAAGTCAATACGTGTAATTTTTTGTTGTTGATAAAATTGTACATAGTACTTACAATATTTTTAATTTGATTAATTTATTTACGATTATAAATACTTCTTTTGTTACAGGTTGTTCTTATTATTGGTATAACCGGAGCATGTCGAACAAATGAACTTACACTACTTAATGTCAATAACGTATCAAAATATTCTCATAATTCTGATGAATTGCTATTAATTAATGTACTAAATACCAAGACAAAAAAAGACCGCAACTTCGTTATTCGCAAGGAATATGTAAACATTGTTCAGAAATATCAAGCTTTACGTCCTTCTAACACCCCAATTGAACGATTTTTTCTACAATATCGCAACGGAAAGTGTATCCGACAACCTATGGGTCAGAATAAAATTGGCAGTATTCCACGAGAAATAGCAACTTTTCTCGGACTTTTAGAACCCCCGTTATACACCGGTCACTGTTTTAGAAGAACCTCAGCCACACTTTTGGCCGAATCAGGGGCTGATCTTCTATCGCTTAAGCGCCATGGAGGCTGGAAGTCTAATTCGGTTGTAGAGGGATACATAGAGGATTCAATCCAAAGTAAATCAAAAATTTGTAATAGTATCGTGGAGGCCATAACGCTGAAAGAACCTCTGTCAGATTCTTGGTCTCGCCCTACTACATCTAAAATGAGCCCCCATAAGATTGGAAACAATAGCCCTCTCTCGCCAACATTTACGCCAATAGAATCCAATGAATCGGCACAACTATTTAAAATTACTGATACGAGTAGTTTACCACAAAACAGCGCACAATTCACAAACACCAACATAACATTACCTAACAAAAATATTAAACTTAACATAAGTAACTGTAGCAACGTTACATTTAATATTTCTTAATTATTTTCTACTTCTTATTATTTTCTTCAATTTATAGATTATCTTAATGTGTTTTAATTGAAATAAAAATATTTTGTCATTATAAATTGTTTTCTTTTTCATTTTGTCATTTCCTCGCTGAGGTGGGATGAAAAGTTACGTATTGCACTCGAGTGGAAAGATTTTTCACCTTGTGCTCGTTTGTTTCCCTCGCTGACGCTCAGGATTCTAATTTAGAATCACTCGCTGCGCTCGTGATTCAACTTTAGAATCCTTCGCTTGCTCGGTCATCCAAATCGAGCACGCGGTTAAAAAGGAACTTTCCACTCTTGTATAATAAATAACTATTTATTAATAGCTGTTGGTCTTCCAAAAAATAAATAAATAAAAAGGAATGCAGTGCCTTTGACCACAATTAAGGTAATGACGCGAGTCATACTTTAGATACTGTAGACGTCCAGTACGCTATGACGGTCGCTTACCATTTGGCAGGCCAAATGCTTGTTTGCCCATACACTTATTTAGAGCATTACGGAAGGCAGAAGCCATAGCGACATAATACTATTCAAATACAAATTTTATGCACTGTTACACAATTTAATAGATAAATTTATTCCTATTAAAATAGGCCCCCTGAGTCATAATTATCCGCAATGGTATAATAGTACATTAATAAAAATCATTAAAGAAAAAAATAAATTTCATAAAAAATATATCAAATATAATAATCACTCTGACTATATATCATTCTCTCTGTTACGAAAAAGGGCTAAATTATTAGAAGAATTGTGTTACAATAAATATTTAAAATCTATAGAAATGAACATAGGCAAGAATCCTAAGGCATTTTGGTCTTATGTAAAAAATAAAAGGGGAAGTAATATCCTTCCATCTACTATGTGCTTAGAGAATAATACCTCTCGTGATGGCAATGAGATTTGCAATCTTTTTGCGAAGTACTTTTACTCCACCTTCCAACAAACTAGCTCTGATACCAATAATGCACCTCCTACGCCTACCACAAGTGAAGGAGCTGATTTAAATGATATATATATAAATAATTTTGCTCTTCTCAATATTTTAAAGACTTTAGACCCTGACAAAAGTGCAGGGCCAGATAAGATCCCCCCGATATTTATTATTAGACTCGCCAACAGCCTTGTAACCCCATTAGCCTATCTCTTCAACTTTTCTCTTTCGTCTGGACAAGTACCAAATCTCTGGAAATCAGTATTTGTTACGCCTATCCACAAAAAAGGCCCCAAACATCAGATAGAAAACTATAGACCAATCTCCAAATTGTGTGTTTTCGCGAAAGTCCTTGAAAAAATTGTCTATTCTCAAGTATATTCTGCTATAAGACAAAGTCTTAGTGATTCACAGCATGGCTTTTTAAAAGGTCGATCTACTACCACCAATCTCTTGCTTTGTGAAAACTACATTTCCGAACACATGGCAGCGGGCTATCAAGTGGATGTCGTGTATACTGATTATAGCAAATGTTTCGATAGGATAGATCATGTCGTACTTTTACAAAAATTGCAAATGATTGGTATACGCGGTAACCTGTTTCGCTGGTTCAGCTCATATGTTGAGAATCGGAGTCAAATCGTTGTTCTCAATGGTTATCAGTCTACCCCACTCTTAATACCTTCTGGATTACCTCAGGGATCACTTTTGGGTCCCTTGTTATTTACGATATTTACGAACGATATATATTCTAATTTTTTTCACAGTAAAATATTTCTTTATGCGGATGATATGAAAATTTTATGCCCAATCAAATCAATCTCAGATTGTACTCGATTGCAAGAAGACCTTAACAGGTTTCAATCTTATTGCATTAAAAATAAATTAAACCTTAATATTTCAAAATGTTTCGTCTGTTCGTTTTCAAGAAAACCTAAAGTCATTAAATTTAATTATAGTATTCAGAATAATATACTTAACAGGACTAACTATATGCGGGACCTTGGAGTGATTTTTGATTCTAAGCTTACATTTGAGAATCATATTGATTCAATAGTCTCAAAAGCCAGAAAAGCTCTAGGTTTTGTTATACGAATGTCGTCTGAATTTACAAACATTAAAACTGTAAAAATGCTGTATTGTGCTTTCGTGCGCAGCCACCTCGAATATGCCTCGCAAGTATGGAACCCTCAGTACCAGACTTACATTTCGAGGATCGAAGCTATACAAAAACGGTTTCTACGTCATATTCAATTTAAATGTAGGAAATTTCACCATGGTTACTCCAGTAGATGTAAAGCATATCATACTTTACCACTTCAGAAACGCAGAGAAATGGCGGACATCACCCTATTATTGAAGACCCTTAATAGCAGCATCGATTGCCCTGAATTGTTAAGCAAAATATTTATTAGTACCCCTGACAAAATCACTAGGCACTCTAAAACTCTTTATGTGCCGTTAGTCTCAACTAATTATCGTCGAAATTCTTTCACAATTAGAGCTCCTCACACTTTTAACCAGTACTCATCAGGCCAGTTAGATGTTGATTTGTTTTGTGACAGCTTGAATTCATTTAAAAAAAAAATCAATAATCTTTTCTTTGAGCCGAGTACTTAACCTATGTATTTTTTAACTTTCTGCTTTTTTAATTACTCATAAGTATATATAGTATACATACATACATACTTAATAATGCATTTAAGCATCATGTGCGCTTCATGCCGACTTTTTTAATTAGTACTTTAACTATCCGCGGAAACTATTAATTGGCCTTAATCATAAATATTATACAGAATAGCAAGTAAGAAAAACTAGCTGTAAGTTTCCCAAAAACTGTAAAAATAAAAATAAATAAAAATAAATCATTTTGACGAACATGTGCACACAAATCCAGTTTAACGTATCTATGTATATGCGTGAAAAACCAAACTGTAACAATTACGACACTCATACATAAACAATGTCGAATTACACCACCGAATCCTGGACACATATATCGGGAGTATGCCCAATTTGTATGCTCCTGCCCTCCTGGCATTGGTATACTTACTTAACTCCTTGTATACTTACTTAACTCATAAGCACCGCGATATAATATAGGTATATGTAGCATGCTCGATTGTCAAATTACTCTGGACATGGTTATTATCTATACAGTATTCTATCATCATACAAACGATCGGAAAGCGTGTCATACCTACGCCACTCGAATTCGCGCGACACTCGGTGGGCATCCAGTCGCGAATGCGCCGCCTTGATTGAATTAAGCAGATGCCTAAACCATAGTAAGGATAATTTACAAACTTTTTAATGATACCTATTAATGATTTCTTGGAATATATAGAAAAAATGGCGGAAATATTCCGGACATCATTTAAAAAAAACATATCAATTGTAAAGTAGCTCCAGGTTAAAGATATTCCCTTTTCTGCTCGTTGCCAATGTTTCCCTTAAGTATTTTTAGTTAAACTTTTTATACGAATGCGTATTTATCATACTATTAAATTTAATAATTAAGCTTTTCGTACGTTTCGTACGGCAGTAGGCAGTTATTTCAAGGACAGGGCCGAGTCACAATACTGTATAGATAATATTACCGTGCTCTGGAGTTTGACAGCTAGACGCAATAAAAAAGTGATATAATGTTTATCGTCGTACTCAAGCTACGGGGACTGACTGGCGGCTGCTCTGTGGCCCTTATAGCATAATAATACCTTTTACAGATCCCAGAATTACTCATGTGTCTTCATTGTAATTAAGTATAGTAATTTCAACCTACTAAATATTACTTACTTTAATAACTGACTGCTGTTGATTTCTGAAGATATATCTTTGCTTTTATGTACGTATATTAGAAAATGTTTCTTTCTAGCAGGTTTGTTTAGAACTTCATTTTTGAATAATATTCCCCCCAATATTGAAGTTGTCATATACTGAAACAAATAAAATTTTAATTTATTTCTAGTACTTGCTTATATTTTTATTTAAATCGGAACACCGAAAATATTAATACGATAAATAACTATGTTTTTATTTATTTTTAAGCATTTAACTGCTAGATGTTTAAATCTAAAGAAAAGTATACTAGAAAAAAAATCCACGCGGACCAGGCAGTGGACGGGACTCGAACCCGCACCCTTCGCAATCCGAGCGAATGCACTGACCGATTATGCTACCGCGGCCCTCACGGACCGCGTCGAAATTCCTCTAGCCATTCTTAAGCTGCAAGGCAGCGCCATCTTTTCTCATTATATGTAACCCACAATATCAAATGAATACTTTTACAAGTGTTAAACATTTGAAAGAAGAAATAGCAATTATCTATATTATTACATTATATATCTATTATATTATTATAGCGGGTTTGAGTCCCGTCTGCTGCCTGGTCCGCGTGGAATTTTTTCTAGTTATATTTTCTTTAAAAATAACTGTTTTGCTTGCTAGTACTTTTCCAAATGAGCTTTTACTTTATGAGAGGAGGCGGGCTGTGTCTTTATCCATACAAGCATTCTTGACTATCTTGACTGATTCCTTCTTGACTTTTATCACTAAAGAAATGAACTTCATACATAAATTATTTTCTCATTCTATGTTCCTATGTCTTCCTTATTTCGATAACTTGTGATTCAAAGAAATTAAAAGCCCTCAAAATGACAAAAATAACCTATTGCTTTATCCCTTTTTTGTTTTAATCTAAAATTTTATTACCATTGAAGACGCCTAGCGTAGGAGATGCAAACAGTATTTACAAGAAAGCGGCCAAATGCGAATCGGACTCGCCCATGGAGGATTCCGTAGCTGCAAGTAACATAATATAAAAGTTCTTGTGATCATTATCATCAGCCTATTAATGTCCCCACTGCTGGGGCACAGGCCTTCCCTATGGATGGATTAGGGAGATTGGGCCATTACCCACCACGCGGGCCCAGTGCGGGTTGGTGGGCGCTAACGACTGCAGATGCAGCCGGGACCAACGGCTTAACGTGCCTTCCGAAGCACGGAAAAGCTCAAGATAGTAAATTTTTGGTCACCCATCCAATGACCGACCACTGCGAAAGTTGCTCAATTTCAACGACCGCAGCCGAACGCGCTAACCACTGGCGCCATCGAGCTCCTCAAAGTTCTTGTAGTTCGTTGTAACTTTGATCGATGTTTTAATCGGGAACCTGCCCTTAGGCACTTATTACAGATTTATTATTAAAAAATAATCGCTCGCGTCCGCTGTTAGCTTCTCATGCTTCTCCCGCACTTGCGCGACCTAACTTTTGTACTGAATGCGATAAAATAAGTGTTCCAAATTTGAATTAGTTCTACCGCAACGAGCAAAAAGGAGCTTTTACTTCATCTTCACAAACAAATTTAAACTCTCCCATAACCTTAGATTAGAACAAAAAGGGTAGATACGGTACGCTCATACTTGCATCAAACAAAAACTGATCCCACGGCAGCGCGAACGGGACGGCGAGATCCGCGTCACTGCATTACCGACCCGAACGAAACAGCACGTTAAGTTTCAACGGCAGCGCGAACGAGACGGCGAAATCCGCGTCACTGCACTACCGACCAATCACGCGACCAGTACTCGACGTCACTACCGAATAAGATTCAAAATAAACAACAATTTTTATGAAAAAATATATTTTATAGTACTTACGAATGAAAAGTGATGCCGTGGGTTTTATTTTTAGTTCTTTAGCAATTTGAGCACTTTTTAAAAACACACTTAGGCATTGTTTTATCATATACCTAAACAAAAAATATTAACAATACTTCTTTTTGGCGTTAACATGTACGTCGTTTGCATGTCAAGTTGTGACTAAAGCGATTAGGGTCGTGAACCACAATTGGTGCGGATCACTTTTGTAAGGCTAGTGCCGTATCTACCATTTTTGTTTTAATCTAAGCCCATAACCTCTTCAATGTGTGTCAAAAACCAAGCCAAGCTATCGCCTAGCATCTATCGTGACACAGCTCCATAATTCGTTACGTAAAACTAATTATAATTTCGAAATCCAGTTTTAGCGCATTTAGTAGCACTGCTTCGTCGCGAATGTGTGGGAGAAGCATCAAAATTGTCGTTACTTACGTAAGCTATAATAGGAGGGATGAGATTTGGAATTTTCAAAAAATATATTACCAGCCATATTTACCTGTCTTCTGAGGAAATAACGTGCCACGATGCGCTCGTGAGGTTCCGCCTCCCACTCCCAAGCACTAATATTTATCTCGCATCCGCCGGGTACAGCGAAACAAATTACTAGACATACAGAGAAATACATAACCTGCCCCACTCGCGACTGGCGCGGGCGTGCTGCTACGACAAACTAATCAGATATTTACAATATCACCCATAATGTTGTTGTCCCACAGTGACAATAATGTTTTCAATGAACGAAAACACAATGATTTGTTTTGTGACAAAATAAAAACTATCTTATAATGATTGAAACATATGAGTCGCACTAAAGAGAGTACAAGCTCGGTGCCATTATGATTTTCATTTATAATGCTATGAATTTACAAGTGACTATCAATTGTGATTCTTGAGAAGTGGTCATAATATTATTATAATTAGATTTTTTTGTTATTTACTGGCTAAAGCCAAAATAATAATATGACTATAATAATTTTTAATATTCATATAATTAAGTTGCTTTGATGGAAATACCTTTTAAGAATTTTTGTCTAGATATTAATGAAAACACAACACAACATACCCGCCGAATTTCATAATTTCAAAACGGGACAAATTGACATTTAATTTTTTGACATTTTTCTATGAAATAGATCTATTTTCATTTGAAACGAGATTTAGCAAATTATGTGGACTTTAGTCCCACTTTTGAATTATGAAAATCGGCGGGTATGTGGTGTTGTGTGAGAATTATGTCTAATTATATGGGCTAAATGAAGGTCAATATCACAAATCTTAAATTAGAAATAGAAAGAAAAAACTGTCATGAAGGAGATTTGACAATTCAACTTACTTGTTTATATCTTGTTGTTTTTTTTTTGTTTCTTGACAGTTAAATTCTCAATAAGTTTGAGAAAGAACTTTGATCACCGCAGTACTTGGGGCAAGGGTTTATGTGTCGTCAATTATTATACTCCGCAATATTTCAAATTGCGGCTCAAGATTTCTATGAATGCAACAAGGATGATCTATCAACCCGACAAAGTACACGTAGCATGACACTTTTAAACTATGTATTTGTTTACAGTAAATTCTTAAACACTTCCTCTTGTCCTAGTATTTCTTTTTAACACGAATTTATTAGCTCGACTTGTATGTAAAATCTAAGAATCTGAATTACATGCACATCTAATTCTTGTATCATCATGAAACTTGTCAATTATATGTACATTAGACAACAATACAATATTATGGTACCATCGAGCTGGTCTGATGATGGGACTGGAAGGTAGCCGATGGAACCTTGGACTGCCTTCTAGTAAACATATCGAGTTTGGGCTCATTAGATTCGTCTTAACATATTCTATTCATTTTTCCTGATGACTGAAACTAAAAAGAGTAAATTAAATTATTAGTTTAAAAAAAAACTAAATACACGCTTTTATTTACTGCACTAAAAAGCCAAAAATAAACATAATATACTCTCTGTTAACTTCAATAGCTAAGGCCCTATTGAAGTTCACAGGTTTATAGTTTATTTTAACATCTTAATATATATAAATCTCGTGTCACAATGTTTGTCCTCAATGGACTCCTAAACCACTGAACCGATTATAATAAAATTCGCACACCATGTGCAGTTCGATCCAACTTGAGAGATAGGATAGTTTAAATCTCAAATTATAGTCGCAATTTTAATTTATTGCAAATTATTACTTTTGGGCGGTACGAAGTTCGCCGAGTCAGCTAGTATATATATATGTATATATAATACTCAAAGGTGACTGACTAACATAATGATCTATCAACGCACAACCCAAACCACTGGACGGATCGGGCTGAGATTTGGCATGCAGGTAGATGTTATGACGTAGGAAAGGATTTTAATCAATTCTACTCCCAAGGGGATAAAATAGGGAATGAAAGTTTGTAAGAAACTCTATCAATTTTAAACCGATCGGGCTGAAACTTTGCATGCAGGTATAAGAAGAATCATAGATGAATGTCATTGTGTATAATACAAGCCTGAGAACAAAAACTGTAGTCTACACTTCAGCTCTACACCGAAGCGAAGCGAGGGCGCGCCGCTAGTATATATATATATATTCTCTTATTTTAAATTCAACTAACGTAGAATTGTCCCGGACATCGGTTGCTTCGCTCGCTTTGGAAGATAGATGGGCGCGAGTTCGCACGAGCGGCGATTTATGCATCGGCATGCATGCCAGTTGCCCGCTGAAGACGGCTCACATTGCATCCAGTCACGATCGCGATGCAAATTGAATGTCCGACAAATTGAAGTTTTGTAATAGCGCGAGCTAATCTGATCGAGCTGCGCGCGTGACTCCATCACACTTCAAGCCCGACACCCGACCCGAGCGACTTCAACACAAAGACCGGACAGATTTACCTTTCCATCAACCAATGCTGAGCTGTTGGAGTTTTAAAGGTTACTTCCTAACAGTGAACATTGGCATTTACCTGCTTCGTTTGCACAGTACACATTTAAGTAAATATATCTTTGAGTAGTCTTTATCAGGGCCGGATCTACCATATAGCTTTTTGGGCTTCAAAATACATTGTTGAATATAACTCCATTGATATTGCCCCTGTAATGGGAGGAGCAAATTAAAGAATTTGGCCATTTCTGCACTTTGTAGAAAGGTTTCTTTGTAATTTGTCCATTTATTAACGATTGTATAAAACTAAGGCATAATATATTATAATTTAATAGTTTACTGTCTCATTTTTTCTATACTTTGAGTAATTAAGTGGGCCCCTAAGTACTATTAGCCCAGGGCCCCCTCAACTCACGGTCCGGCCCTGGTCTTTATCTTCATCCATTTACTCGGACATAAATTCCCTTACTACAAAACGCGGACTAAAGTTAGTCTTGGTTTAAACCTAATTTTGTCTCTATTTTCTTTCTGGCAAACAAAAGTGACAGCATCTGTTTTATTCCAGGTTTAACTTTAGTCTACGGTTTGTGGTAAGACCGGAAGGGTTCATAATTTACACGTTAAATTAATCAATAAGAAGTGTGATTTTATCGACTTATTTCTGTTGTTATTTCGTTTCGGGAAAGACATAGAAAGAAAGTTCAAGTTCTCTGAAATTGATTGGATAACGCGTTGTATCCCTGAGTGCTAACTTGGGCATTATTACTTAGAAAACGTAACTGTTACATTATCGCAGGCACACAATATGAACACGCGGGCTACACTCGGGATATTGAACGTTGAACGTGATGCGGAACAATACAGGCGATGGCTACAAAGACATTTATATCGCCTGAGCTAACGCCACAGCAGATATGTGATATACTGCATGCTGTAGTTATGATCTTAGCGGTGGGAAATTGCCAATATTTTCTACGTATCGATTGATATTCTTGCGTATTGAACAATGGTCCCTTCTTTTACGTGATAAAAAAAGTTAAAGCCAAATTGTATAGGCCGAAAAGAGACATATACTTACTGTATAATCAAATTGCATTTTATGAAAGACATTTAAACTGTCTGTATTTCATTAATGATTGATTGACAATTTGCACCACGAGAGAAGTTGCGAAAGTATGACGACCGCAATGATGGTTTGCTTAGCGCGTTTTGGTTTCTGTGACAAGCAAATAAGCTCAAGAATTATGTGTAGCAAGTTATCAAATGTCATATTTAAATAATAAAAAAAGCAATTCGGATAAAACAAAACGACGATTTTCATTCCAGTAATAGCTACGATTTGCTGTCGCATTTCCGCATTCAATCTCGTGCTGGTGGATGGTAATTTTTCTCATTTCTCGGGCGCCGTTTCATCGGTACCGAGCGGCGACTGTATAATTTTCCGGGTGAGATCTCCGGCCGCGGTTCCGGTCCGGACCGGAGGCTCCGTAATAACCCGGCCCGAGTTCTAATCCACTTCAGATGTCGACTAAACTGAAGGTGATTTTATTATTCACAAGAATTTTCTACAAATACACACTGTATGCCTTAAAAATATCCCTCAGCACTAATGCCTAACTGGGAGCACTTCGCTCCGAGGCCAGTCATTATGAAAATGATGATCCCCTTAATGTCCGTGCATTACAGTCAGAATACCTACTTCAAATGTTGCAACGTAAGTGAAATCCCGTGAAAACGGCGGCATATACCATTCACCGTCTCATCTTAAAATATTGACTGCGGCGTAAAATAAATCGCGTGAGGGGGTCAGTTGCGGCCTGAGTGCACTCGAGATGGCTCACTGTGCTGACGCGGCCCCCTCTCCCCCTCACTCCTCAAAGCCCCCCGCCCCCCGCCCGCCCCCAACCACTCACTAATCACCGCTCAACTCACTTGACGGACAAGCACGCCTTTTTAAATGAACACTGGATTAAACTCGAGTACCACGAAGATAAACATTTCTTTTCATAATGATAAGCTCGAGATGGTTCAAGTCAAGTTCCCTTAAAGCCACCCCCCTGGCCATTGTGCTTTTGTTCCCTCACAACGGGTTCCGGGTCGAAATTCAAGATCTCAATCAGATCAAAGTGACACAAAATCGACTCTGATCTAAATAGGTGCGTCGTGAAATTAGTAAAGTATTATCCGAACCAAATGGTCAGTTATTTTGTGAATTTGTTAGTTACAAGTGATACAGTTTAAACAGGAAACTTTTTAATTTATAATACTTCATTATTACAGTTCTATGATAGATAGATGATGATTTCAGTTAGATGCGGGCAGCGCAGGACCGATCGTTGTGGAGATCCTTGGGGGAGGCCTATGTCCAGCAGTGGGCGTCGTATGGCTGATATGATGATTACAGTTCTTGATAGACAGCGGATTTCCCGCCGGAATCGAAGCCCCCGTGTGGGGGAGTAAATAAGGCGCGATAATAGTGTTGTTTTGTTTTATGTTCTTGCCGTGAGTAAGGTTCGAGGCGAGGAATGAGGTCTGTGGTGATCGCTTGCCATCAGGCGGAACATGTATGTGTGTTTGGGACAGTCAGTTCTCCTATCTAATGATGAACTCGTATACTTGATAAGACGTTTAATTACCTTTAAATTACAATAATTGAATGATAGAAATAAATGTATTTGTATTGTGCGCCGTTGTAAATTCGAATGCGTGGGTCGCGAAGAATCGCGGCTTCTTTCACCCGTTACGT